AGGGAAATGCCCAGCACAGTGGCAATTGCCATAAAAAGTGGAGTAATTATGGTGGTAATTTGAAGCTTAGTTGATAGCGCAGCCTTCCACGCATGCTGTTCAGTTTTAAAAGTGTAGGAGGGTCAATGGGACTTATGAATAGCTTTATCCACTTCTGTTCCCAGCGTGCCACGCTTTGCATTCAGTCATCAGCACTTCTTATTCTTTCATACCTTATTTTCCTTGCCTAGACAGTTCATGAGGCAACAGGCAGACTTTGTAATAGGGTACCTCAAAGATATTTTTTTTTTTTTTTTACCACTTCATGCAGGCACTCTTCCAAACATAAACCAGATCAAATTTTAAAAGAAAAATTATCTGAATAAAAAACTGGAGGAAAAAATTTGGCAAGCGTTTGGAACTAGACACAGCTTACATATGGAGTCTTACAGTTACAAAAGCATAGGAGTTTTTCCCTTAATAATAAATGTGTTGTGTGCAATCCCTACAATAATTGGCTAGCCTGGGCTCCCTGAATGGCTCAGCTTTTTCTGTGCTTTGTGTGGCTGCAGTCACCATACCAAACAGCCAAGCTGTTTGTATTTAGCATTTTTTATTATCACACTTGTATTGTAGTAAAGTCATTTATAAAACAAAATTGTAAGATAATGCTTTTGACACTAACGTATTCTGTAACCACTGTCATAGATTCCTGCAGAAAATTAGCCTTCAGTGACTTTGGTACTGATAATGGATAGCTCTGTATATATGCAGGATTTGGAGTTGGGTTTCAAAGCACAAATTAGTATCTGACTCACCTAATAACGTGTCTGTATTACTTTCAGTACTTGGGATGCAAAGCAAGGTCCGGTGAAGGATGCCTACAGCCTGGCTAATAATCCTCAGTACAAGCTAGAGGTCCAGTGCCCACAAGGTGGTGCTGCCGTCTGGGTTCTGCTTAGCAGGCACATCACAGACAAGGTGCTGGGTTCTTTTTCTTACGTTTTCTATATTATGAGTTCTGTAATGTCTTCTGTAAATCTTTTTATATAGCCTTCTATGTTATTAGTATATTAGTGCTTGTATTTTCATGTTCAAGTATGTACATCTATGTGTATACATAAAAATTTTTAAATTCAGCAGGTACACATAATTGTGTACAAGATTGTTGGAATGGACCCAGAGTAAAAATTTAGTGAGGTGATTATATTCTCCACTGTAAAGGTAATAAAATAACTCTGAGCTGTTCTAAGTGAAATTAGTGGCAGTTTGTTTATTGCAGGGTTTTTCAGGAATTGGATCAGGGATCTTAGTAAAAGCAAATATCAGTGATGCGGTGATCGAAGGGGATGATAGAATGTGTACTCGATTCTGCTTAAGCATTGGTTACATTCCACAGAAGTGTACAACTCCACTTGATTTGTGTTTTTTATAGGATGACTTTGCACACAATCGGGAATTCATTACGATGGTTGTATACAAGACCGATGGCAAAAAAGTTTACTATCCAGGTTAGTGCACGTTAATGGTCATGAAGGTGATGTTAGAAATAAATGAAGAATTGCAAAGGATTTTGTGGAGAGGAAAGGCACTTTTTGCTTTAAAACTAGACGCCTCACTCTTAAGAGGTCAGTCTTCTAAAATAGTTGTTTAGCCCTGTTTGACCACCTTCAACAGCCTACACGAAAGGAATAAACCAAGCTGTGCATGTTGGAAGCACGCTAAGAGGTCTGCGTAGTCCTGCTGACACTTAATTTGGCACAGCATTTTCTTCATTGTTCTGTTGATTTTTGCAGTGGCAGTAGTTAATGATTAGAGGGAACAGATGTTGTGCCTCTGTTTATCTGATAGCATAATTATTTCCCAGATTTGTGAAATTATTTAAAGGTTTACAGCTTCCACTAAATGAAAATAATTAAGGTTAATTGTTCGATGAACTTGGCTTAGCAAAGTACTTAAGCAAGCTCATGAGATACAGCTGAACACTTCAACTTATTCCTAAGTATCAGGTATGGAATGTGTAAGAAAAATATTTAGATACTCAAATTTTATCAAAGTATTACTCTCGGTCATTATAGGTCAGATTTTACTCACCTTGAGAAGAGGGGGCTTGGCTTTTGGAGGTTTTGTTGTAGCTGTGAAAAAGGCATGTATGTTTTATTTCAAGACAGATAGCAGATATGAAACACAGGTTGAGACACAGAAAGTGAAGGTAATGCCCATGTTGAATAGATGGGGTAGACTGCAACTTTAAGGTAGAGCTAATAATATATTTTTATTTATTTTTTACATCAAGTTAGAGATATCTGTAAAAATATTCCTTGGAATAATTCAGTGAAGGTGCATCCTAAGGCAGGTAGGATTTGGCCTGTTGCTTTTACAGGTAGGGAGCCTCTTTAGAACCAGGGTTGCATTCAGGTAGCTGCTCATGCAACAGGTAATAGCAACAGTTAATTAGAGAGTAGCTTTTCAAGCTCTTTTCACCAAAGAGTGGAATTTGTGGGTTTTTCCCTATTGGAATGGCTGGTAAGGTTGCATTGTTCATCCCTGGTCTTGTTCAGTGAACTCTGCCGACCAGTTCCCCTAGAATCCAAGCTGTCTTTCTGCGGAAAGTATCTGTTGGAGACCTGACCAAATCATCATCTGTTTTTGCAAGAGCTGATCTTGTTAAAGCATCTGCTTCTCCTTTACAGCCCAAGACATGCTTCTGGTGTTGCTAGTACTTGTAGCAGTGCTTATTTTACATGCTGTCTTACTGAAAACATTCTTAAGTGGGCAAACCAAACACATTTGTATAGCGGAGGGAATTGTTCGGTTGTGCTTGAAAGAGACAGTCTTCCAGCAAGACTACTAGCAAGAACAGGATGATTCATGTTTTGTCTCGCTACCCAAACTCTTTTATAAACTTTTAATCTCACGAGCTCAAACTCGTTTAAAACCTTTTTCCATGGAAATAGATTGGTCAAGCTGCAGTATTATTTTTACCATCTGTTAAAATGAGATCAGAACAAAGCAGGTTAATCCTTTGGCAGTGAGGCCGAGATTTCCCATTCCTAAGCTTCTCATTGTTTTATATTAATCCTTTCCCCTCTCCCATGTTGCTTTGTGGAAGAAAATAAAAGGACCTGATCCTGGGCCTATTGAAGTAAGTGGCCAGACTTGTTCCTGCTTCACTGAAATTGAAAGAAGTCTGGAAAGAACCAATTAGAGGCCAAATAACAAATTACATTGTCTAATTGTAAAAGCAAATATTTGGGACGTTTATAATAAGTACTCTGTGTGCATTGGTACTGGGATGCAGCTACATCTGTGTAACGATCACAAGGATTTGGAGAGGGAGAGAGAAGGTGTGTGTCAGTTAGTTAAAGAAATTAACGTGTTTTAAAGTCTTGTTTACCCAGTGGCCAAAGATTTATTTTTTTTTTGGCAGCTTACATTCTGGAACTGCGCAGTCAATGAAGGAGGAACAGCCTCCTCGGAGATTTTTAAAGAGTGCTCAAACGTTCCTTATCTTTCTCTTTAAACTTCAACATAACCGCAGTAGGTCTCCTTTGAGTAGTGACATTGGTGGGAGATGTTCACAGTTCTTGCAGTTCATGGGATTTAAGCTGTACTTTCAAGTGCAGAATTTGTGTCCTGTCACGTGTGATGTACCTCTCCTGAAAATGACAGTTGCTCTTAAAGGACAGGTGCATCTGCCCTTTTTACGAGCAAATCTTGAGGCTCTATTCTTTTGAGAGCACTCAAGTCTGCTTACAGTCTAACCTTAGGACCAACAGTCTGACTTTCCTGGCAAAATTCACTGATATAAAATGGCTAAGAAGTTTACCAAGCTGGGGGATATTTTGATTGGGCGAAAAGCGTTCATCCTGTTCTTTTTCAGCTGATCCTCCTCCATATATTGATGGTATTCGGATCAACAGTCCTCATTACCTGACCAAGATAAAGCTGACCTCTCCAGGGCCCCATACGTTTACCTTAGTGGTGTCCCAGTATGAGAAACAGAACACTATCCATTACACCATCAGGGTACGTAGTGTTGATTTCATAATGAATGTAAACAATTAAACTATGAAGTGTCCTTTATTTCTAAGTTTGATGAAAAAAGTGTACTCCTGGACTGATACTGTTATTTTTGGGGAGGGAGGCTATGAATGATGGAGCAGAACCACTGGATGAAGTGCTTGATCGTGTTCTCCGCTGTAGTAAAGACAATATGGTGTGTGTGATTGTTGTAATGAAATCGGCTGAAAAATACTTTTATTTCCTAGAATAAAAAAAAATCTACGTGTACAGGCAGAGCATTGGCTCTCTATGTATCCAAAATAAGCCTATTTTAGATCCCAGTTAAGATTTAAAGTTTTTTGACTTCTCTAAGTCCTTGGACTCAGTATTTGGGTTTTTCTGTAACTGTTGAGTCATGTGATGATCAATGCTAGATGTCTCTTTTTGTCACTGAAAAAAGCAAAATGCAGGTTGTTTCCATTTTGCTTTTTTTTTTTTTTTAATAAAAAATAAGTAGAACTAAGTCTTGTTAGTCCCGGCACTATTCTGGATTTTCAGTTTCAGATGGGGTTGTCTGATGAGTAATGTAGGCATGTAGCGAACAAGTATTTTAAAATGATGTGTAGGCAATTCTGCTTTTTTTTAACATGTCATAAGATTGCATATGAACGGTACAAGACGCATGTGTGACCAGCTTATTCTTCTACAACGCAGGTGTATTCCTTGTGCAAGTTCACCTTTTCCAAGATTCCTACACCTTACACCATTTCCAAACGGGTAAAGAATTTTTTTCGTTTTATGGGTCCCTGGATAATAATTCTGGCTTGGCTTTTCTGTATTTGAAACGTACAAGGTTTTTAAATATATTTTTATATTACTGCCCAAAAATGGCAGCTTAGGCGCCATCTTCTAACAAATGAAACTTCTTAACTAAAGCTTAATCTAAGCATCGTTAGCACAAGACCAATCCTGTACTCAAGTTACACATAATTCGCCAAACAGGTAGCTGCACTGTTAGCATAATTCATAGCGACACAGAAGTCCTTGGGCTGGCTCACCCTGTTCACACCACTCTGTACGGACGGTGGCTTAACCTTCAGTGTTACTTGGTATATAAGCTCCACCTTCGTTGCAGAGCCTGTTGTTATGGCTGTACCATTGCAGATATACTGTAAAGCCTCTGTAGAATAGACTTGCCTTTAGAATAACAACCTGTACCCGAATGTGTAATTACTCTGCAGAGATCAGATTGTGCTAGTACTGCTGCAGAATGAAAACCCTGCAGAGCGTTGCTCGTCTTCCCGTGAGAGAATTGTGGGATTTTCCTGGAAGAACTCTTGGCATGATGGGACAAAATCAGCAATGGCAAACCAAAGGCACCGGTAGCAAGACTGTGACAAATAGACTTAGGGTGGCAATATCACAATACATTACTGTTCCTAAATTTTGCAAAGACATCTCAAAGGTCTGTAACCACTGGGATAAGCACTCACGCTGCCAAACAGGATCAAGGCAATATACCCACGGCACATTTCATACAGGAATACTCCCTGAGAGCACAGCAGCAGGGGCAAGAGAAAAAACTTGACTGCAATTAAGTCAGAAGCCCAGGCAGTTTTGAGGCCAGCTGCTGTTCATACTTCAGCTGTCAACGTGAGCTGCAGTTATACCTTCAGCTGAAGTATAAATATAGCCAAGAGCTCACAGGGTAATATGTGACTTGCATGTATTTTCACATATTAGCAATTTTATCCTCAAGAAAGAATAAGCCAGCAGTTGTTAACTTTAATCTCTGTACCTACCATGCATACCCTGGGGAATCCTACTATAGGCAGAAGTCTTCTGTCCAAACAGTAACCTCTTCGGGAAGAGAGAAAGGCGGCTAGTCTGAGCCACAGTGGAACAGTCCATTTTCTAGGACACTCGTGCCTGAAGCCAAGGATTACATTACTTTCTGTGGTCAGGGGGACATGTTTGTTGCAGCTAGGCTCTCGAGTGCAGACAGTGTTTCCTACCAGCTGTTATTTCCACAACAGCCCCTTGAAGCTAGCCTGTTCTGGAGAACGGTAAGTGGCTAGAGAGATTCCTAGAAACAGCGAGATGATTTGCTTCGTTCTTCCAGAAGCCGTTGTCCTTTTTGGCTCTTAAAAACTAGGCTGAGTTTGGGGGAATGCTTTAAGAGGTCAAAAATCTCATTGAAGATGACCAGCCTGTTTGAGGCAGGACGTCTGTTTTATGTTGTATTATGTTTCAAAAGAAAATTAAGTATGTGGAAACATCCTGTTAATTATTTGAAGATGTCTGTCTAGTATTCAAATAAAAGGCATGTTCTGTCTATCCAAGGCCAGCTCTGTCTGTACGATTAAATACAAGAAGTTAGTTGCCCGTGCTTAATGCGTATTTGGTCCTTGCTTAGCAGTCGTCACACTTAAAACCAAGCAGATGATAACTAATTCACAGTTTACCAGTAAAAGCGAGTTCCGTTGGATGTCTTACACTAAAGTTGAGCAGTCGCCCCTGGAGCTCAGCAAGCCCTAGGGGGATTCCTGGAACTAAGTGCAGCGGAGGTGGAAAAGGCCGGGAATGCTAACGGCACACAGCAGTTTTAGGTTCCTGGGTAGTAGCATGGTGGGGGGAGAAATCCTCTTTGCTTCCAAACTTGCCACGTTTGAGGGTTTTGGACACTGAGTGAAGAAATTAAATCACAAGAAAAAAATGTTGCTCCTTGCTGATTTGACAGAAAGGGGAGAGAAGTAACAGGAGAAGTAGATCTCAGCTATAAATTTGTGTGAAGGCCTGGCATGTCTTATAAGTCTAACCTTTCAGTTTAATGACTAGCAGGAGGAACTTGCAAACAGATGGCCTGTTTCTCAAAGTCTGAGCAGCATTTTTCCTCTTGTATGTCTTTGTCCTTGGGGAATCTGTCCTTAGGGATATCTTGTCCCTGTAACACTGGTTTTCAGAGTGCATGGGAGGTGAGCGGACAGTGCTGGAGGCAGCGAGTTCAAAAGGAAAGGTTACAACGCAGGTAGCGCGTACTTCACGTACCGCTGCTGTTTCTCAGTTAGCACAACAGAGGAGTCTGAGCAAAAAAAAAAAAAAAAAATAATCTGCATAGTCCAGTAGTCATGGCATAGACGGGAACATAGATCCTTCGTCAGATGCAATTTGTTACAGTCAGAAACAGTTACTCGGTACTTGCTTATTAAATATAAGCTAAAAAATACAGTACACTTAGAAGGGATCTGAGGCTTTGATGGAGGTGGGTGGAGGACTGCAGTGAAACTTTCTGAATACTTAACAGTCACTTGCACTTTCAAAATTAGGAGAGATTACTGAAGTCAGTGACTGCTAGAGTGAGAGGAGCCTCTAGTCTTGTTTGTGTGTATAAATAAGCAATACAAATCCTCAGGATATAAAGTATTTTCTGTCCTTTTGACTTCCTTCAGGTTAATGGACAGTGGAAAGGTCACAGTGCTGGAGGATGTGGAAATTTCAGAGACACCTACAAGAATAACCCCATTTATCAATTCCAGCTGGACAAGAATGGGCCATTACTAATTGAACTACGGGGACCAAGGTTTGTAGAGAATAAGCGTGCATCAACACAGCAGGAGTATTACGTGCTAAAGATAAAGCTTTGTCAGTGTGCTCCATGGGGAGAGTTGGAAGCTCCCTGAAAATCCAGAAGACAGGTATGGGAGGTCGCTCAGATTTAGCACTATTTACATTTCTAACTTCACTATCGATAGTGATTTAAACCTGCACGTTTGCTGCTGAGGAAATCCTTGACCTACAAGGAAAGCAGGAGCCTTCTTTAGTTTTGGTGCCTGAGCAGAGCTAGGCCTTGCATAGAAGGGAAGAAGGTACAAAGGACGTTTTCTTCCTCTTAAAACTAATTACGATTGTAATTCCTTTTCTTTTGTAGTAGAGCTAATACGCAGGATACTAAACCCTTACGGGCTCTCAAATAACGGCCTATGCAGTAGCTTCAGCTCTGAAAGTGCATTTACTCTACCACTAGCAGGCCAGGAGACGTACTGGATGTCAGTGCCCTGTAGACTAGACCTACGCAGGTCAAATTCCTTTGGCAAAATTCACGATCTACCTCAAAATACCAGTATACAGCGCTTCTAAATAGCACCATCTCCTGCCATGCAGTCAAGTGTTAATCTTTTGCAGAGCTGTACAGTGGGCCCCGCAAATGGCAGCACTTCTTTATCCATCCTCCTCTCTTTGAGGAAACTCCTTCTCTCGTGAAACAAAGACAAGTGCAAAGGTGTGGCTCTGCTGTTCCACTAATTGCGCGGGTTTTTGTATGCGGTTTTTTTTTCCTGCACTCGCAGATCATATTTGGGTAGTTTGAATGACAGGGGCAGTGGTGCCTGTCACATGCGTTAACAGGTAGTAGACAAACTGTCCCAAGTTGTAGCGCAACATGAGAAATTCTGCTGAGATCGCTGACATTGAGTCCTCTGACAGCGATCAGATCGCACCCCAGGATCTGTGCCATGCGGCGCCAGAGGACGTCACCACAAGTTTAACTGCTTGAAGTCTGCTTAAATGCAGAGGCGGACTTCTAGCAGGCATTTTCCAGACAGTCTGGTTCTGAAGCTGCAATGTGTTCCCTCTTCCTCCAAATTCTACATTCGTGTCATGCTAAGTTTGACGTAACGTTTCTGTCACAAATGTGACAAAACTTTTAGATTTCTTCCAGTTACACTGTGTCGTTTTTTAATAAATAGCCCTCTTCGTGGTAATCCCAATGACCCAAATAACTAAAGTAACAGTCTGTCATGTCGCTTGCAGGCAATACAGTGTTGGTTTTGAACTCATCACAGTCTCAACAGTAGGAGATCCTGGTTCCCATGGCTTTCAGAAAAAAAGCAGTGGTGACTACAGGTAATGCTCACTGAATGAAGTCTTAGAGGTTTGAAACATACTTCAGATCTTAGTTCTAACAGGTGGTTTCTTTTATCATAGGTGTGGATTTTGCTACTTGGAAGTGGAGAACATACTTGCTGGAGTTTACAACATTATCCCCACTACATTCCTGCCCCAACAAGAGGGTCCTTTTTTCTTAGATTTTAACAGTGCTACTCCTCTTAAGGTATCACAGCTGCAGTGAGGAGACAGATCTGTGCATTACCGTTTAAGGAGGTGGTTTTCATCTGTCCTACAGTCTGAGAACAGGTGAATAACTCGTACTACACGTAGGCATAAAAGAAAATTACACTCTAAGTTATAGCCAAAGGCACGGAATCACTGATCGGCCGTTTAAGTGTGGTAGACAGTGAGCTGTAGTTTTTGCTGCTATGGTATTGGAGTGAGCACTGGTCAACAGGCTTGTGAACAGGCTAAAACGCTTGTATTCGAATGAACTGGCAGAACTCAATTCATTGCAATTTTTCCACGCTTCAAATCAAAGTCTAGTGAGCTAAGAGAAAAACTAACAGTGAAATTCTCTTCTCCCAAAATACAGGGTATATGGGTTTAAGGTTTTATTCTTAAAAAGTAAACATGTAAGAAAAAATATTCTTGTGTATTCTGCTTATTCAGTCTCAGGACCAAATAGCTTTTATTACATATCTGTGCTGCTATCTGGAATGTTTTCAGCATTGACCTAGTTCTCACATCTAAATGTAAATTTACTGCTGCTGAGCATTCCAGACAAACATGCTCAGTTTATCTAGAATATGTATATAGGAAGGAGTAAAGGAAAAGGAAGATTCCCACTTTAGCAGTTTCTAAAAGAAAAGCAGTGGCTTCACTCACATGTACTTTGAGAGCTGTTATTTCATGTCTATATTACTTTATACATAATATTACAGCACGAGGTACTCTATGGCTTTCTTCCTACTAGCTGCAAGACCTAGCTCGACCCAGATCAGCAGTGAAATCAGGAGGTTAGCCAGCAGTAGCGTACAGACAGCGCAGCACGCCCTTCGTTCAGCACGTGTGAAAGGCTTTCATCTACAGCTGCACCGTAGGATGCTCTGTATCTACTGGGGTACTCTCACCTGCCGGTGCGAGGAGGGGGGAACTACCCACCATCAGCATCCCAGCAAAGACATGCTGTATCCTCAAGATGTTAATTAAGTATTCAGCTTGTAGGGGAAGGATCATTTAAACCTCTCTCCCTAATAAACCACAGCCGCAAGAAGTGTACTTTCTGATCCCATGACACAAGGCATCTTTTAAAAGGTACCTTTTTCTTTTTAAGTTGAAACCAGTGAATGAATTGAGCGCTTGGCCAGTGCCATCAATAGGGGTAGCCTCAAAGTTCTTAAGAAAATAGTGGAAGTGGAATTCGTCCAGAATAAGATTTTTTTAGAAGCCTACTATCTGTGCTTTTCCTCCAGAAGATCTATATACATTGTATCTGAAGAGGATTAAAGATAACCAAGTTTTTCTTTTGAATTTAAATACTAACTGCCTCACTGATCCTAAAATGCATTTGTTTTTTGTTTTTTTACAAACGGCAGACTTTTAAAACGCCACTATATTTGACAGCTGGGGGAGAGCGTGCTTTTAAAACAGCCATAGGAAGTTCTTTGCCATTAGGTTGGTTTGGCGGTTTTCCAAGCAAAAAGGTAGCATTTAAATCTTATTTTAGAGCACAGGTGCCATTTGGTCATCGGGAAACTGAGCACACATGCTACAGGCATACCAGCAATATTATCTGCGGGCTAAAATTGTTCCCTTAGAAGTCTGCTAATAGCCCTCTCCAAAATGTACAAGATCCCTTTTGTTTCATTTCCTTCGTCAGACAGCTGCTTAACAAATATCTAGCTTTAAAAGGACATTGAAAACACACGCCTTTCTGACTGCCGTTCTCTCAAAGACCATCTGGGCTAGGAAATTTGTGACAAGTTTGTCACAGTGTGACTTACCTTCTTTTGCAGAGAAGTTTCTGATGATTATTGCAACAAATCGACACAGGGAACAGCGCGGGCACAAGCTGAGCAAAAACAACTAGGTCCTTTGTGGTTATCCTTGGCTTTTGGGAATATGTACCAAGGACTGCTTCATCCCTATAAAATTAAAATTTCATTTGGCCCCCATTTTCCCTACAAATTTGTGTTATGTTTTCAGCTCAGGCTAAACCAGAGTAGCAGTGGAGTCTCGCGTCTATTTTATCACCTGTGAAGTTAGAGGTAGTTAGGAAGTCTCCACTGAGTACGTTTCTGACAGTAGAAAAGGCAGATGCCAGAACTGCCAGCTTTTAGTACAAAGTTCTTGCACGTCCTCAGCTGTTTGAGATCAAGCTGGTAGACTTGCCTACAGTAAAAGCTGTTGGTTCTTCCTTCTGTAGTGGGTTCCTACTCTGCAGGAAGGGTTTTTTGTCGCCCCCCCCCCACTAACTAGTGCCAAAAGCTTATGCTGGATGAAACAAGCCTAAGGCTCAACTTCCATACCATCCTGAACTTAAAGCGAGGAATGTATTCATTTAATGCCAAAGACATTAAGGACAAAGGCTCCTGGCTCCACCAGGATACGCTAACACTTCTTACCTATACAGCACAGTCAGTGGATTGGGCTCATCCCCATAACTGCACAGGATTTAAGCCTAGTATCAGTGTCCTTTATAAGGCAAGTCCTATTCAAACATTGCACCTACACAGGCTACTAGAATACCATCGCTGTACATTTCCCTTCACATACAGGACAGAACACTCAGGTGGAGTAAAAGAAAATACTAAATATTCTTAAAAATAAGTCTGCAGATTCTAACTTATGGCAAAGTAATTTTACAACAAAATTTTCTTGCCCTTTTTTCTTAGAAAAAGATTGTTCATGTAAGCACTTAAGCTTTGCTTTGATATTTTCTGTCAAATACATACTTCTATTTTTTTCCACAAATAAATCTGGAAAAATTATTGGAGAGTGAAATAACACTTAGATTATAACACAGCCTCAGACCAATACGTAGGTCAAGCTTTTTTCCCCCCTACGCCATTTAGCATTTTTGATCCGTATGACAGAGAATATTGGATGCTGATACAAGCATGGAGATGTTATGCAGCAAGACTTTTAGAAGGCCTGTGTGTGCAAAAATTGAAGTAGCTGCACAACAGCTCAGACCGTAACGAAGGTACATCGGTCATGTTACTTTACTTCCAGCTAGAGAGTCATACACCTCTTGACCCTTAAGCCTTCTCTGCCTGTAAACACGCAATTCAAGCTTTTAAACAATACAAAGCCTCATAAAATATACCACCAAGCGTCCTGCACGCCTAAGTTGTTTGTCACGCACCATACGGTTCTGAGCTACAGCATGAGGGGGATACTGACAAAACGAAAGCCAGTTGCTGTAAGGGGCTTTAAGAGGATTTATACTTTCTTTGATTCACTAAGGAAAGATTACTACAAAGAAATGATTTTTAATTCTCCGTCAGTGGTGCAGAGGGATAACTGGAGATAGCCTCTTCAGAAGTTTTAACATTCTCCTTACTTAGGCACTGCAAAGCCTTTTCTGTGTTTTGGGGTTTTTTTTTAATCCTACCTTAAAGCTCCATACAAGACCCCATAATGCTGCTGTTTATAGCTCAGGGTGAGACACCCCCCCCAGACATACACCCCCCCCAGTTTGCTTTGTTAGGAAGACACAGGTGAGTCCTTGGTTAATCCCATCCAGCAGTTCTCAAAGACTCAGCAAGCAGTAGCACAAGGATGAGTGATATCCGTGAGCTTCTATGAGCTTCTATCCCCTCTGCCCCATGAGTCTGAGATTCAGTCCCGGTTTCCCGAGGCTAGTTTCATGTAACTATTTTGTACAGTAACGATGCACTTGAGCACACAATCTATGCAGTGTTTGAACAGCCAGCTATTTAGAATTAAGTCTGTGTACATATAGCAGAGATTTTCATCGCTTAGTCAAAAAGGACATTGAAATTGTTTGATAATACCAAAGAGAAGTAGAATTCCTAGGTTAACATTTGCTTTATAACATTCTCACTTCAGGGCAGCTGAAGTGATCACGTATACTTTGATACGTCAGAGGCTTATTTTTATACCCGTGAAGGCAGCTACCATCACGTTACACTTCCGAATGCAGGAACAGCTCCAACTGGAGAAAGCTTGTTCATTTGCCTGTAATCCATAGTGATGTATGTTCATTTAAGTTTGTCATATTTATAATTATGGCTTTTATGAAGTTTAAAATAAAATGAGTTTTCCATTAATTTATTAGACATGCAGTTGCGCCTGTTTGCTTGCACCTTCGAAGTGTGATTTACCTGCCAAGTCCAGGGGTCGCCAGAGGAAGAAGGCTGCAGCAAGATCTTTAAACAAACCTTGCAGAAGCATGGTGTAGAAGTAAGGGTGCAGTGGGTTCCGCACCCTTTCGTACTTGCTGATCAGTGGTTTTACCCTGCTGGGAGCCAAACCCAATCGGGACGTACGCAAGGCAGCACACACAACTGGTTAATTAATTCATTGCCAAGTGCAGGGAGTTTGGGTTTCCAGTCAGAATTGGCAAGATTAGAGGAAATTTGATAGCAAAAGAAGTTAAAAACCACAAACAAACATAAAAACCCCCAAAATACCCAAACAACCCGGGAAAGCTTATTAGGGGTTGACTGGCAAGTCTGCAAAAAGAAGATATTCAACCACAAATACCTCTGCTAATTTTTCTAACTGTATGGAGCACAGAAAATAGCTTAACTGCAAAAGGTTAAGCAAAAACATTGAATACAATGTGGCGCTTCTTTACTGCTTTTCATTTCATATTTAATACTGTCAGTTCCAGCTTCTTCCCAAGTATTGGTCACATCAGAAGTTGGAACCACTGACTTCTTTCTTTGCTAAGCATTTATTGGGCTGGGAAATGCTACCGATGGCGGAGTTCAGCCCTCAGGTCTTTGGAAGATGTAAATGTATAAATATTTAAAGCTAGTACAGCTTAACAGCTATAATGTGTTGAATCTAATTTTTATGAAAACATGTTTCTTTACCTCCAATTCTGCGTGGCCTTACAACAAATTTCAGCAGCATTGAAGTTGAAAGGTGTTGCATGACAGAATACCTTCCTCTTTTCTGCGTACTAAGGGATTTTGGAAAACTTGACTAAAGCGCTGGTCTCGTGCCGTTCAGAATAAAAAGTGAATCACGGATGCGGGGATGCAG